TACCTGTATCGAGTTTTTTTTATCACATTTTTTTCTTTTGTATGTTTTTTCATATGTTTTTGGTTTTCAGCATGTATAAATATCGTCGTAATCAGTAGATAAACAAAATAAACAGTCATTAAACAAAAACAGAGCATAATAATAAAAAAAAACCCTAGTTAACAGATAAAATCCACTATTATTTAACTTTATTAGGTGAATAGTTAGTAGATAATCACAAATGATCAATCGATATCTTCATAATCAATAGATAACACTCGTAAATGAAAAATAGAGTATAAAATTCAAAAAAACCTATATAAAACACTCGACAACATTTAAAATCGAGTGTTATCAACTAAAATCTTTCAGTAACAGTTTATATTTTGAAATAAACAATCATTAATAAAAAACAGAGCATAACAATAGAAAAAACCCTATGTAACAAATAAAATTCGCTATTGTTCAACTTTATTAGGTCAATAGTTAGTAGATAATCACAAATGATCAATCGATATCTTCATAATCAATATATAACACTCGTAAATGAAAAATAGTGTATAAAATTCAAAAGAACCTACATAAAACACTCGATAACATTTAAAATCGAGTGCTATGAACTAAAATCATTCAGTAACTGCTTATATTTTGAAAACAGATAACCACATGTCAAATACTAGTGTAAAGTTCATTTCCGATTGTTGTACGTTCAAAACAAAAACAAGGAATGTGTCGATTTATACCTTGATCTGAAGCATTTGTTCTCGGGAAATCAGTCGTTGACGACATTTTTTATTTTATCAAGCTTTTTTTGTTCGATTTTGATGATTATCGGCGAAGATTTAGGGTTTTTTCGAATGTTATTGTGAGGGTTTTCTTTCCAAAAAAGTAGAGAGAGAAGTTATGGGGAATGAAATGAGGGGGAATGAGTAGTTATGTGACGAAGGATTCATTTTCATTTTGCATTTACAATATTGCCCCCACGTTTTTAAATTTTTATTTGCTTTGTATCTAGTTTTTGAATTAATTACAAAATTGCCATCTTGTCAAATTAAAAGGTAATTTTTGTTCTCAAATGTTCTAGCGGGAGAAATGTTCTCGATTGAACGCTCCCATATATATATATATATATATAGGATGAGGTTCAATAGAGAACCATAATTAACAAGTAACCAAGGAACCAATCGTGAGCGTCGGAAATCATAATGATCAACGGCCAAGGAAATAAATGTACACTTGTATATTGGACGCACACACACAAGATTATACCAAAAAATCCACATCCTTACCAAAAAACCCACCTCTTTTTTTCGTTTAAATTTTTTAGGCCACATTTTTTATCGAAAAAAAAACCAAATATAACGTTGTTCACGATTTTTCGTATCTTTCCATAGAGATCCATGTTGAAATATAAAAAACGATTTTTTTTTCGAAAAAAACTCACTTCATTTTGTTATTTTTTTCAATATTTAAGTTTATTTTTATCCAAAAAAAACTAATTATACCAAAAATATTAATTTTTTGTACTCTATTAATAAACATCAACACCGATTTAAAAAAAAACTCGATCAGTTCAGATTCACACTTTGAATCTAAACTGTAAATATTTCAGTTTGTAACATTCACAATGTGAATTTGACTTACTATTTCAACTCTTTGATCATTCGCAAATTAACTTTGTGAAATTTACATATGAATCGAAATATATTCCATGTAGTTTTATAATATTTTAACGTTTTCATTATTCATAAATTAGTCAAATGGATTTATTCACATTGTGAATCTGACTTACTATTATCCACACTGTGAATCTGAACAGATTCACAATGTGAATCTGAACAGGTTCACAATGTGAATTTGAACAAGTTCACAATGTGAATCTGAACTGAAATTTTGATTTTTTTTAATATCAATATGAATCTATATTTAAAGAGTACCAAAAAATATGAATTTTGATATATTTATTACTTTTTTTTCTACAAATTTATAGACCTTAACTTTTCAACAAACAAAGAAAATAAAATTGGTTTTTTTTTAAAAAAAAGTTCATTTTTATATATCAATATAGATCTTTATGGAAAGAGAACGGAAAATCACGAACAATGGTATATTCGGTTTTTTTTTTCGATAAAAAACATGACCTAAAAAAATTAAACTAAAAAAAAGGAAGTGAGTTTTGTTATAATCCGGTGAATTTGCGTCCACTGTAAAAGTCTACAATCTTTCCTTTTGTCATTGATCGCTTTAAATTCCGACGCTTTGGATTGGTTCATTGGTTCCTTGATTAATAATGGTTCTCTATTGAATTTTTCCATATATATATATATATATATATATATATATATATATATATATATATATAAACAATCTTGTATAAGTTCATATCATATTTTTCTATTAATTTAAGATAAAACTTATTACATATTGCTTAAAGGTCCTTTAATCAGATTAGACTAGTTCAATAAATATCGATTAAAGGCAAACGGGCAACAAGCTGCGCTGCTAGCCCTTTCTGGATGGCAAAACCAATTCATTTAAAAACTGATTTTCTATAACTTTTTATGGCAGGTATTGTTGAACTTTATTCTCTACTTTAATAAGCTTTTTATTTTCATTTAAATGGTGGATATATATAAAATAGTTAAATGGTAATGGGTGCAGTTGTGAGTTGGGTACCATAAGTTAATAAATTAAACATTACTTGTAATCACGTTGTTATGATCATGTCATGTAATTATTACTAGTTCAAAACTAGATAGCGGTGTGGGACGTATAACTATAAAATAGAGTATTGTGCAGATTTGGTTTGTGGAATTTTTTTGGTTAAAAAAAAAGACATTTTTCTTTTAGTTTCTATTTCAAATGATTTTTATACATTGATAATATTATTTAATTATTAATAATAACTAGGAGAATCTAGAGTAGACAAAAATCGATCCAACCCACCACCAATCTGAACTCAACCCAAAATTAATAGGTTGGGTTGGGATTTTCAACTCATTTATGTTAAATGACTCAACCCGCCTAAACTATTTAATTAAAAGTTATGAACCTATTTTCAACTCACAACCTAATTTAACTTTTGGTATATATATATATATATATATATATATATATATATATATATATATATATATAATTTAATAATTATTTATATATTACCATGTATTAATTTATAAATTACAATGTTGTATTATTATTTATGTTTTAAAGAATAAAATCCTAATTCCTATCTTTTTTTTCCTTTATACTGACAACAATAGTTACTTTTTAAAATCATTTCAAAATTACATATCTTTAATGTTTTTTGAATGATTTTTTGTTTTTTTGTATTTGTGAACTGAGATTGTGCTTTTATTATACTTTGAAATATTATTTAAGTTTGAAACTAATTTTAGTGGTGTTATCTTTAGTTAATTTATTTATTTTTTTATTTTAAATGGGTTAACCCAAGTTTAACCCATTACTAGGTTTGGTTGGGAATAACATATACCGGTCAACCCGGTGACAACCTATTTATCTGAAAGGTTGGGTTGGGTTGGAAATATCCACAAATTTAAATAAAAAAATGGTTGTGTTAGATTGAAATCTTCAACCTAATTAATAAATGAGTTAAATACGAACTCAATCCAAATCGACTCATTGTCAGTTCTAAGAGAAGACCCATGCTATGTAACGGGGTCACGTTTTTTTTCTTATATGTGCATTGTCTTTCTTGTGATTGTTGTTTTGTTCTTAAGTTGTACATAAAATCGTAAGATTTAGTGGCAATTTCGTTAAACATGCATAATTATAATGACATAAATAAGATAAAATATCGGGTTAAGAAGAAATGTTTTCTGGATTTTTTGTTATTTGGGTGGGTGGAGTTTTGGACAAATATATAAAAGTAAAATTAGAAATAATAACCAAAAGAGTCGATACGTCAATAGTCTAAAGGTGAAGTTTGTGCACAATTGGAAGTGTCTGACGGTTTTTATTTGGGTGCTACTATATGTATCCTCTCACTCACATAAATCGTCACATCATAGGGGTACACAAGTACTATTACACTCACATGTGTGACATCCCGAATATTAGGGCTAAATTTGTAAACGGTCAGTTCACCGTAAACCTTTTGGTATCTCGACTGATTGAATTTTAATACATATTATAGTAAAAATATAGTGTCATTTCAAATAAAATAATATATGAAATTATATCTTATCTCAAATTATGGAAAATATCGACCGAAACTTAAAACGCAAACTGTAACTCTGGTCAACGACGGAAAAACTGAAATATTGTATTAAGTGTCTATAAACAAAGAAAATATTCTAGACTCGTAGTACATGTTTCCCTGATCGCGAATAGATAAAGAACGCCAAAAACGGAGTTCGTGTGCAAAAGATATAACCGTTTTAAGAAACCAAACTGGTATAACACTACCTTTATCCGATTTCATAAACCGAATTGATCCGTTAAGACACTTGCACACCTCAGATAGAAATTTTGAAAACGCTTATAAACTCAGACTACGGTCTAATATTTTATTTAAAACTCAAAATATTTTCGGTAAAAATATTTGTAAGAATCAGAAAAATCAGACGCTTCAGACCAATTTGACGCGAAATTTCAAACGCAATTTCCGGAGTTCTACAACTCGGAAAAATATTTCGTTCGGAATTTTGAAACCCTGGAATTAATATCTAGGGGGTGTTTGTATTATCTTTTTGAGAGACAAAAGTCATTTTTGGAAAAGATAAAATGTAAAAGATGTTTGATGAAAAGATTTTAAAAGCCACTTTTGGATTTTTGATATAAGAAAAACCGACTTTTTAGAAAAGTCAGAAAAACCTGACTTTTTATAACTTTTCCAAAAATGACTTTTGTCTCTCAAAAACATAAACAAAACACCCCCTGTTACATGGCACAATCGGATAAATTTCACAGACATCAGAAATTAGACACGCCAGGAAGAAATCTGTTTTTAGGACAAAATAAATGTTATGCATTAAAAAAAAAAAAAAATCTGTAAACCAATGCAGCCCACGTCTCTCTCTCTCCTACGCCTCTATCCCTCTTTTGGACCTTGTGAAATCAACTTTCCCCTATTGAAGTGGTGCAGGAAATCCTTTTCCTCTGAACCTAATTGGTGTTATGCTGAAAGAGTGAAAGAGATTGAGATGGTTGTTTGTCCTTGGACTAAACCCACAGCAACCTTAAAACATCGTCCTCCCACCATTGTTGGACCAAAACATCACCACCTCACCTCCTTTCCCCTCCTTCTCATTGAATTACTGTCAGGAAACGAAGAGGAAATCAAGAGCAGTCGAGGACTGCCACCCTTATACCACATGTGACCACCGTGAACCACCCTCAAACACCCTACCTTCACGTCCTTTCTTTTTCTTCTGTTAACTCCCTTCCTTCTTACACTGTCAAGCACAACCACCACCAAGGAAGGGTGTTGTTGTTGTTGTAGTTGTGCCATTCAGCACCACCATAGGCCGCCACCAGCCTCCACCATTTATGTTTCCCGTGGGCTGCCAACGCTAAACACAACACCCCACCACCCGCCTACAACGCCGACCCATTCCGCCGTCACCACCCGATGCCACCTAGGCCGCTGCTACTGTGAAGAATCCAACCACCGTCAGCCACTGATTTCGATCACCATCGACTTCTCCTTCCTCCCTTGTGTAATTCCCGTCGAGTGTAAGCCAAAACGAAGCAGCAGAAGGCCGCCGGAGCAGCCTCCTGCCACTACAGTCACCAACCTCTTGATGCCACCACCATCTTCTGCCATTGGTAAGCCACTGCTACTCCCTCTTTTTATTCTTGCGTCGAGCCCCATCGTCGATTACAACAGAGGCCAAGAGACCCAGCAAATGGGTTTTGTTTTTGTTCCATGCTCGAACCGTAAACGCGAGGGAAGGAAACGGAATGGTCTCGTGTTCTTCGTTTTCTTTCTTCCCGCTCACGATCTGAAGGATGAACCAGGAAGCCAATTAATGTGCAAACATTGATTCATTTCATTTAAAATAAACCCTAAAGCATGTTGAAATTACGAGTTCAGACCCCCATTGCAAAATAGTTCACAACCAAGTCAAACTGCCAATTAAATTAAACAGAATTGGTCCCTCCACCATAAGCCCTAACAAATTTAGTCCTGAAACTCAAATCAGTTTGAAATATGCACATTTAGCCCCTGGTTTTGAGAATATTTTTCAAAATCAGTCCCTGAAGTATGATTTTTGCAAAATTAACCCCTAGAGTTTATTTATTTTAACAAAGACCACCCTATACTTATTAATTAATACCAAAATTTACCCTTTTGGTTTTATTAGGTAATTTAAATATACCCGGTGGTTCGTTTTAAGAACGAGGAACGTCACGTAACAAAACTCACGATAAGATCTACACCTCGAGCCTCGTTCACGCTTCAAGTGTGAGTGTTACGGCCCCTTTTTAATGTTTTATTATTATTATTATTATTATTATTATTATTATTTTGGGGGGGGGAGGGGGGGGATACATGTGAAATATATATAAATATATTTACCGGTTATGAAATGTGTTTATAAACATGCTAAATCTATATATCGGTTATCGAATACGCATATAAAAATAATATATCTAGTTTTAATGCTTGTTATTGTTAAAATAATATATTATAAACCGATTTCTTACGATATGCATGCGTTTAAAAACATTATTAACCTTGCGAATAATTTATTTTCACTTATATCAAGCATGCACAAACATATGTTTTAATTATTTACGTACGAATTATAACACTTATATCTTGGAAACCTTTCGTGCATGTGAAGAAACATATTTTCTATTTAAGCAATTGACATACATTTTTACGGATTTATCGAACTTATTCGGTTTTTATAGTGAAACTTTACCGTATAACCGTTAATCCTAGGAGCGAGATACATATGTATAGATCTATACGGGTTGACACCCCCACCTGCGGTTGCTAGCTACAACCTCGTCTGATCAATCGAAGCGGGTGATAATTATCTTTAGTATAACTACGCCGTCTAATGAAGCGTTGTGCAAGGATTATAACTGGTCACATAGCTCGGTTATAGGACTCACTATAGGCATTAACCGGACTCTTTAACTAGAAACCATGGATTTGGTTTCCCTGTTTATCAAGCATTTTAAGTATGAACTTACTTATGGTTTAACTCTTTATCAAGCATTATCAGTATGGATTACTTATGGTTTATCAATTTACCAAACATTTCAAGTATGGATTTACTTATGGTTTAACTCTTTATCAAGCATTTTCAGTATGGATTACGTATGGTCTATCTATTTACCAAACATTTTAAGTATGGATTTACTTATGGTTTAACTCTCAGTCAAGCATTTTCAGTATGGATTACTTAAGGTTTATCTATTATTCGAACATTTTAAGTATGAAATACTTATGGTTTATCTCTTTAACAAACATTTCAATCACGAATTTACTTAGGATTTCTTTCTTTATCAAGCATGATTTTAACCACAAAAGAAATATTTTCTAGACTTATAAAGTATCATTACTGCGGTTAGCAGAAAACCTGTAACTCTCACCAACCTTGTGTTGACCCTCAAATCACATGTATTCTCAGGAAATCAGTGAACCAGCCTTTAACAGAAGATTTGTTCATGGATTTTCGGGCAATCTAGTCTCATTTAGTTTTTGTTATGTCAGCCTACTTGTTAACACGAATTTATGAACCTATTAATATATGTATGAACCTTGTATTCGAAATTTAAACTTGAATGTAACTGCTATGTTGTTATTGTTGTAACTTGTGATGTATATTCAATTTGCTTGGGATCCATGAACTAAGTCGCACAGCCCGGCGTATTCCGCCGCCTCGATCGGGGGTGTGACAACATGAGGGGGTACACAAAGCAATTGAGGAGGTACGTATATAATTTTCTTTTTTACTTTTAAGGGAATCTGATTTTACGGAATCAGTCCCTATAGTTTTAATAACTTGCTAACTTCTAATTCTTTTTTTTAAATACACACTTCTATCCTTTTTTAAACTGAAACATTAATTTGCAGAAAGGTCCTTGTGGTATGACCGCTTGTTAATGTTTATTTTCTTACATTTAAAACCACCAATTTAGTAAAAGACAGACACCAAAAGTGAGAAGTTTCGAAACTTTGGTGGCAAATTTCGAAAACACCTAAAGCATATTACTCATAAGGTTACTGAGAATTAATATATTATATAAATTTACTATTATCTTATAGTCTATGACGTTGATGTCCAATTAAAATGAATATTCGACATGTTATAAGGTTTCAGGGATTGGGCACGTCAAACAACTTGACATGTAAAGATGAAGCTTTCTTACCATGACAAACATCACTCCAATTCTTTGGTATGGAGCTAGGGATGAGATTTAGAACCGTAAAATCGGATCGGAACCAGAATCGGACTGGAACCGGAACCGTTAGAACTAGAATATGTAGAACCGGTCCGGGTCTCGGGTTTAAAGAATGACTTTATCTGGGTTTCGGGTAATTCGGGTTTTGGGTCCTTCGGGTCCGGGTAAATCGGGTTTAAGAACCGGAACCGATTTTAGGGGCCGAAACCAGTTTCTATGAAAAGTTTCAAACATGCATATCTCATTCGTTTGAAGTTGGATTGACATGAGTTTTTTTTTCCAAAACGTAGTTTATAGTTTGTACATGATTTTAGACTATAATTTTGTCATTTTTGAGTTAATATTAATTGACTTACAGTCCTTCAAAGTCAGAATATCAAAACTGGACATTTTATGTTTTTCAGATTTTTTTTTGTATTATGTGAATGTTTTAAAACATGAATATCTAATTCGTTTGAAGTCGAAATAACATGCGGTTTTTTCCAAAGTGTAGTATAGAGCTTGTACATGATTTTATACTATAATGTTTTCATTTTTGATTTAATATTCATTGACTTACAGTCCCTCAAAGTAGGGATATCAAAGTTGGATATTTTATGTTTTTCAGATTTTTTTTTTGTATTATGTGAATGTTTTAAAACATGAATATCTAATTCGTTTGAAGTCGAAATAACATGCGGTTTTTTTCCAAAGTGTAGTCTAGAGTTTGAACATGATTTTAGACTATAATTTTGTCATTTTTCGTTTCATATTCATTGACTTATAATACCCCAAAGTCGGGATATCAAAGCTGTAAATTTTCTGTTTTTTAGCTTTATTTGTATATTTTGTGAAAATTTAAAAATGCATATCTAGTTCGTTTGAAGTCAGATTATCATGAGGTTTTTTGCAACGTGTAGCTTAGAGTTAATACTCTATTTTAGGGTCTTGGACACTATTTAAGCTCCTTGTCTCATAACCTAACCCTAATATCTTCAGCCTCCACCCCTCTAAACCCTAGAAATTTTCATATATCATCCATGGTGGCATTTTGAGCTTATGGAGTCCATTTTTGGGGTGTTTGATCCATTTTCAAGAAGATGGAGTTTGATGCAAAGGTGGGAATCAAGGAGAAGCTTATGGATCTGGCTTTTAGGACTCATTCTCAGCTTGATGAAGGTATAAAGCTTTGAACTTGATCATTCATCTCTTAGATCTACCATTTTTGGGTTTTGGTTCCTTTTTGGTCCCAAGCATGAAGCTTTATGGTTCAAATTCGATTCTTAGACTTAGGGTTGCCATCCTTGATGCTATTTGAGTCCCTAAGGCAGAAAGTTGCCATCTTGAAGGTCTTAATGGGTTCATTCATGGGTTAGGGTCACTTTTATGGAAGTAGAATGCCATTTTTGTAGTTTGGGGCATGCAAAGTCACCAAATCAGTGACTTTATGGGTTTAGATGTTAAGTATAGCCCAAATCCGTGATTTGGACTGGTGGGATCAGGTATTAAGCACTTAATGGATTTTGGGCTGGAGCTGTTTGTACCCTGGGCGTACTGCCCATTTGTCCAGTATGCTAAGCGTACAGAAGAGGTACGTTGGGCGTACGCTCCCAGGAGGACTTGGGCCTTAGTGGACTTCGGACCTTTGGGCCCTAACGGTTTTGGGCCTGAATTTGCGGTTTGTTGGGTCTGAATGTATCTTGGGCCAATATTGTAATAGTTGGGCCTATTGGGGCTTTGTGGCCCAATATAGAAATGGATTTCACATTGTGGGCCTCGGTTTGGGTCAATTCTTGGCTTAAGTCGTTGGGGGCCTTCGTGGGCCAATTGGGGTCAGGATTATTGACTACGGAGAATATTGGGCTTTAATATAAGGTCCATTAGAAAGGTCTGGGCCCAATTTGGAAAATTAGGGCATTGATGGTTTTATGGACGTTATAGTGTTGGGCTTTTGTTTTGGGTTTGGGCCTTAGTTTTGGATCATATTGGGCTAGGGGTAGAATGGTCATTTTACCCCATGCATGGATTAGGGATTATGGTATGGGACCCAATTGCTAATTGGTTATATTGATTGGTAGTGACAGCTTGGGAAGCTGGCGGGGCAACAACTAAGGAATTCATGCGGGAAGCTTCTGCAGTGCGAGGTGAGTCTTCTCACCATACCAATGGGTCTAAGGCACCAAGGCCGACCCATCTTATGATAGTTGGTATACTTGTTGTGTAGAGTTGTGTGGCATATTTATGCAGTGATACGTGGTAGAGATAGCCTTTGTGGCTAGCGGTAGAGATAGCCTTTGGGGCTAACGGTAGAGATAGCCATTGCGGCTAACGGTAGAGATAGCCTTTGTGGCTAATGGTAGAGATAGCTTGATAGCTAATTGATATGTATTATGTGGTAGAGATAGCTTTTATAGCTAATATGATTTGTGTTATGTGGATTGTGTGTGGGGTATGCTCTTGGGGACTCACTAAGCTTTGTGCTTACGGTTTACCGTTTTGGTTTCAGGTATCAACGTTTTGGAAAAGAAGAGCTCGGATTGATCGCAATGAACACACCTATGATTTCCACAATGATTGATTTTGGGATAAACTCTGATAAATGATTTACTTAACGATGATTTGGAATGTATGAAATAAATGGTATCAATGTTTTAGCTATATTAAAAACGAAATTTTTACCCTTGATTTTTGGGCCGTTACAATAATTTTGTCATTTTTGGTTTAATATTCAATAAATTACAGTCCCCCGAAGTTGGGATATCAAAGTTGAAAATTTTCAAAGTTCAACCACCAAGTCATTACCAAAAAATTCTGGATTTCCCGGGTTTTCCGGTTCTAGACCCACTTTACCTGGTTCCACCCGACCCACTTTAATGTTTTCGGGTTTTCCGGTTCTAGACCCACTTTACCCGATATCTTACCTAGAACTGAACTGGAACCGGATCCTATATACCGGTATGGTTTCCGGTCCTACAAAATCCTGTTAATTGGTTTCCAGATTTTCCGGGTCCGGGTCTATCGGTCCGGGTTTGGACCCACTCTCATCCCTACATGGAGCATATAGTTGCCGAATTCAACACCCCTTTACTATTTTCTTTCTCTTCTTTTTTCCCAACCCAATTAACTGTTTAATTTTCAATTCTTTCTTTTTTAATTTCTTCTTTCAATTTCTAATCATATATATATATATATATATATATATATATATATATATATATATATATATATATATATATATATATATATATACACACACACCTTAATAAGCATTTAGCCTCAAATGCTGAATTTTAAGAGGTACAACCCCTTATGCGATTTGTACAATGAAATTATGCATTCAAAAATATATAAACCTCATCTGGTCAACAGGTTATTGATTATGCAGGTTTTGAATAAGTCTCCTCTCTCATCTTCAAATTGAATTGGTCAAAGACGAACTGATATTCATCAAAGTTCGGCTAGTTGAATAAGTCAAGAACTTTATATAACATTAGCGCACACCCACCTGCAACCAAAAAGCTTTTTTTCTCTCCCATGTCTTCTTTCTTTCGATTAAACATTGGAATCCTTTAAAATAAAATCGATGTCATTGTTTTTGAATCATGATGTGTATTAATAATTATTTGTTATTTTTGTTACAGATGACAACGAAATCTACCTCCGGTGAAGAAGCAACAACAGGTAAAAGGATCCGATGACTGTGGGGAAGCTACCAAACTGGTTCAAAACTTGTGTCTCTTCTCCGTATCTTTTTTCGCGATCCACCATCAATACCATGCATACACCACCATCAACCGAGAACAACAACCGCCACAATCAACCTTCAGCCACCATCGACGATATCACCCGACTCAAGCCCCCATACATAGAAGATTTCCTTTAATTCCCTTTTCATACTCATAACCCCCTTAAGGGTCAACTTTGGTCAAAGTTAAAGTCAAGGTCAACATCCTGGTCAAAGTCAACATTCTGGTCAAAGTCAACATTCTAGGTTGACTCAACTCGCCGAGTTCCATAAATCATAAACCCTGAAATCGCTACCCAACTCGTCGAGTTTTTCATGAACTCGTTGAGTTTCTCCTATCACAGAATCGGGACTTTCCAACCTCACTCGTCGAGTCCATCCTGAACTCGTCGAGTCTTTCCTTTTTCAGAATCGGGGCACTTCGACCCAACTCGTCAAGTTCCTCTCTGAACTCGTCGAGTTCTTCAGTCTGTTAATCTTTCTTAATGAACTAAGTTACTAATCTTCAGATCTAAGATCCATACTTCAGATATAGACTGGAAGTGTCCTTAGAAGGGTAAAGTTTCCAACTTTACCCGTTAATACCCTTCCTTAAGATATATAGCTCAAACCCTAACTCCAAAAGGTCTAGATCTTGATCCAAAAGCCATCTATACTTCAAGATAGGGTGTATAAAACGAGATCTGGACCTTAGAGACTAGATGAACACGTAAAGTCTCTGACTTTCTCTCCATGCATGGCCTTTTATAGCTTAAAAGGCCAAAATGACATCCTAAAGCTTGCATGGGACTTCAATGGCCATACAGTTTGCACCTTTATGACATGAAAGCCCTTCAAAGTCCTAGATCTGGAAGTATACTCACTTGGGAAGTTCATTTCCCAAGGACCATGCTACTTGGACCAAAATCCCATAAAAGTGATAAGAAAGAGGTCTAATCATACTATAGGCAAGATAAGAGCTTTATACCTCTGATGAACCAGGAATGAAGTTACTCTTCTGGATCTACTCTTCTCCAACACTTCCTTGCTCCTTCTTCAAGTATCTTCTTCTTCAAACCACAAAGAATGCATCAAGAATGGCTCAAAACTCTCAAAAGTGTATTAGGGTTTCATGGCTAGGGTTTGGGATGATGGAGGCTGTAAATGAGGCCAACCTTTTGAGGTTAAGGTGTTTAAATAGGGTGCAAAACCCTGAAAATTAGGGTTTCATTCTGCCAGTCCTACTCGTCGAGTTAAGGCTTTAACCTCGTCGAGTAGACATCCCATCCCGCGTCTAATTTCCGTCCCTACTCGACGAGTTTGGGGTCTCCAACTCGTCGAGTTTCTATACAAAACCAATAAATTTTGAATTAAATACATACCAGTGACCGGACGTTACACAAGAAGTACTAGTCTCTTCCAGACTTTCTTTCCAAATAAGAGGAGTAAATGCTATTCCAGTGTCCAATTTCTTCACAAAAGAAACAAGATCCATCTATGTGGGCTTTAGTAGATTTCTCGGGCTTAAAGGTGTTCAGTGCATAAAACATGGGCCTCCTGGATCACACAAGGTGATTCTTTTAGCCTTGCACTATTCCAATGTTTAAACTAGATTTAAATAAAATATCACGATATTTATTGGAATTTTGTTTGACCTGTTATATCATCAGATATATGTTTAATTTATCCAAGACTTGCTAGAAGTCATGAATAGCTATTCCTAGCATGATGTTAGAAGCATCTTTAGCATCAAATTGATGCCTTTACTAGGTATCATGTTCAGGTTTAATTGATCAAAGCAAATAGTTTAAGACTAGGACCTTTAAGTGTATACAATTTCATATCTCTCACGAGATTGTCTCTTAAGACATGAACCCATTCATTGAAGTTGTATCTAGTGAATGTTGTTGTTTCATTAAGTCATTAAAAAAAATGACAATTCATGATAATGAGAATGGATTATTTAACTACAAAATTTTAACAAAATTCATTTAGTATTTTCAATATTTAATCTTCAATAATTAATACCCTTTTAGTTTCCAATAACATTAATTGTCAAAGTGTAGGATCCAAGTTGCAAAACAAATAAATGGTTAGATATCCTTTATCCCATCCATCTGAATTCAACCCGGTAGATATCAATCATCAATTATATATTGCTATATAATTCCTAGATTTATGGGATCTCTAATAACAAATTTAATTAGACATGTTTGATCCCATCTATGCCTCATATTTCTCTTGCTTAGGTATCCTTTATCACAAAAGATTTCGATCAAATCATCCAACTTGAAAAACTTGTGTAATCGGCCTATAACTTCGTTATAGAAATCGCAAAGACACCTCAGCCATCAAAAGACAACACTGAGCGGTTAGATATCATTTATCCCACTAGTGCATACAAGAGATGTGTGAGTGTCCTTCAAAAGGATTGCATAGATTTGAGGTTTGTAAAAAGGGTCTTTATATGTTTTATAATTCTAGTTTAAAAACATATGATATCATGGTTATTACATGCATATAATAAACCATTGTATCAATTTTCAAAAGAAAATCACTTTTAAAGGTTCTATATAAAAAACTAGTTTTTTATATAATTTGACGCGATTCAATTTTAATAACCGGTATTAATTTTGAGTGCATTTGAGCCTTATACCTTTAATAAAACTTCATTTTATTACTTATATATTTGGAGTTTATATAAGTTACAAAAATCACCATTTTAAAACTTATAATGGAGTATTTCAAAATTTACCGTTATTAATCATTTTATAAAACCGAGTTTTATTTTTAAAATAATAACTTGTTACATCTTATGTCCAATTTTGAAAAACCCAAACTGCATATGATGCTTATTTTGTCCAAAATTATTTTAGCATGTGAAAAACTAATTTATCAACCACACATAATAATTGCATAAAATAAACAGCACAAACATGCATAAAAAGATATGTGCATAAACATAGCCAACTAATGACATTTTTTGTGAGCCAACACAAAAAATGCCAAGTCCATTCCTAAAGGGACATTTAAGGGGACCAAAAAACTTCTTGTAATGGTGTTGAAGAAGCTCCCACTTGAGTAAACACCAATTGCTTGCAAATGATTAGAAAAACATCTTGAAGGCTAAAACTCAGCAACTGTCGCTAAAAGTTCAACAACCCTTTGTAAACAACATTAGTGACAGTTTTCAGAAAATGTCACTGAAAATCCTGCACACCTTTTAGATTCGAAAATTACTCTTTTGTCTTCAAAAAATGGTTCAAACTTCATTTCTTGTTACATTTTTGTACAAATAAATTATTTCTAAAAACTAATCTATTTCTTTACAAAAATAAACAAGAAAAAACTAATCTATTTAATTATTACATACCATATGAATAAATAAATTATTGCAACCATTTAATAATAAAAACAACAAACACAACAACACAACAATCATAATGGTCCTTGGCTAGTTTATGCACATAATATACATCAACATACACACAAAACAACATTTGTTTTTCAAAGACAACTTTAAATTACAAAAGATGCATTAAACTTTTGTCACATAAAATACAAAATATAAAGTTGTCATAGAAAATATGTATGAACTTATTTTTTTATACAAAAACAAGTTATCCATATTCTCTAAAAACTAAGATTTCCAAAAATAAAATAATAATAATAATAATAATAATAAATAATCTAACCAAACTTGCAAGGTGGCTGTGATACCAATTGTTGGGTCTTAGTTCAAAAATAGTTTCATAAACTAGAAAAATATGGCAACGGAAGACTTAAAACTTGAACATAACATAACATTTTATACCCACCAATGATCTCCTTGCAAGTTATAGAAAGATAAAATACCAACCATAGAAAGGATGAATAAATAACAACCTTTGTTGTTTTTTGGATCCTCTTGGGATGCTTGGAAGTTGATGAAGGAGATGGAACCTTTGAGACACCAACACTGACTCAACTTGATGTAGATGCTAGTCCATCAACTCTTAGTCCCTTAAGCTTTAAGTTCATAACGAATATGAACTTAAGGAGGACATGTAAAAGCAAGTAACTTCAAGAAATGATGAATAAAAGAGAGAGTAACCTCCTCTAAGGAGGTTATGGTTTAAGTAAGGAAGAAGGAAGCCACCAATTCAAGAGTGGAAGCCTCATATTTATATTGTCTTAAAGTGAAATTTTTAACCATTAGGTCATTCCACTTTAGACAAGCATGTCCCTAAAGCTTTCATGTCTCTCATGCATGCACCATGCTTCATTTCTTTTGAATAAACAAATTGGAAAGCCATCCCTCCTTTTGACCAACTCATTTTCGGCCATCATGGAGAAAAAGAGAAGAATAAGTTTATATTTTATAAACACAAAGTTTATAAGATATAAACTTTGTCTTTTGCTAAAAGACAAAAAGCTTACCTAGTCCAAAATGTTGTACGTGCCTTCTTAATTCATACATTATGAAATAATATGTTATATTACTTGCTAATGAAAATTATTATTTCCATGAAATAAATAATTTCCAATTTAATTATAAGAGTTTTATTGAATATTTATTAAAATCAAATTCTAATAATTAATCAATTATATCAAGTTGTTGTTAGTGTGACCCATTAATATCATATGTTAATTAGCAATATCACTTTAATATGACTCTTGAACATATTAGACCTTTCATATATATATATATATATATATATATATATATATATATATATAATAATAATAATAATAATAATAATAATAATAATAATAATAATAATAATAATAATAATAATAATAATAAATTGTTAAAAAAAAGAAAAAAAGAAAGAAAGGGTAATTTGGTCTTTTTTATGGACCAAGGACCAACAGTGTGATTTTCACAAACCACAAGGATGTAACCTATCAAATTTTAAACTTAAGGAGCAAAACTGAGAATTCGACCAAACCACAGGGACCATTTCTGTAACTTACTCTTTTTTTGCACATTTAGTTCTTAATATTTTTTTGTTGCAAAATAAATCCTTGTTGTTTTTTAACACATTCAATACTTATGACCGGTTTTTTTAGGTTTTTACTCACAACATCCTATGCGGGACAATTATCAATAAGGTGTTCGTGGATGTTAATGTTTATGGTCACTGCTGCCTCGACTACTTGGTTGCTTAGTTCTTGTGGTTTGGCTTAGGTCTTGTGTTATGAACGTCAAAACTTCTTCAAACGATCACATATTTTAACGATCTTTATATCTACACATTTGTATTTAAGTCTACTACAATTTTTATTTAGATTACTTCCGTTAAAAAGTAATACATTTTTACTTACAATCTTTATATCCAGGTGTTCTTTACGAATGTATGTATAAATGTTTTTTTATTTATAAAATCGTAATTAAAAATATCTTGTATTTTAACGGGAATAATCTAAACGAAAATTGTGGTAGACTCAAATACGAACGTGTGGATATAAAGATCGTTAAAATCCGTGATCGTATAAAAAGTTATAATGTTCAGAACACAAGACCTAAGTCAAACCATAAGAACTAAGCAACCAAACAGTCGATGTCATGGTGATCATAAACATGAACAACCCCAAACACCTTATTAATGATTGTTCCGCATAATATGTCGTGAAAAAAACCAGTCATAAGTATTGAATGTTTACAAAAACAACAAACACTTATATTTTTTATATATATATATATATATATATATATATATATATATATATATATATAGGAATAAATGTGTAAAAAAATATTAAGACTAAATGTGTACAAAATGAGAAATATATTACCTTTTTAAGTTATTTTTTTCGACTTACTTGAAGTAGCCAGTCATAAGGACTAAATGTGTACAGTTAAACAAGTTGAAGGGGTATATGTGCACGAAAAGAAAAAAACTCAATGACCAAATATATATACAAATCGAAAAATATATTATCATTTTAAATCATTATCTCTCTAACAAATAAAGGTAACACTTAGATGAAAGACAAATGTGAGAACATGACACTATTCCATTTAACCCAAGGCATCTTATGGTTGCTTGTGCTGTTATTTCGTTTGTAGGTTAACTAGTTGTGAGACCCGTATATTATACGTGTTGATTAAAGCATAATGTTAAATTTGAGCGATTAAATGAGAAGTTTATTTTAATTTGAAATATGAAATAAGTGAAAATTATGAAAAAAAAACATGGAGAAAATAAATTAATTAAAATTATGTGTTTAATTATCAGACCTGTGTAGTAAACGAATTATTATAACAAAATGTTAAATACAAAAGTTTAAAATGTAAATTTATTTGAAATTGAAATTGAAATTTCAAATTTGAAATTAATAGTAATTATGGTAGATTTAATTTATGGAAACTAAATTAATGATATATTGAAAATGAATAATGAAATAAATGACAAGTGAAAAATAAATATATCTTAAAATTATGACAAAGTTAAATGTGGCCAATTGAATGAAAGAATGATAAGTGGCAATAACATTTTCATTTATTAAGGTAGATTTATTATTAGGGTAGATTTTATGACGTATGATTAGTCATGTAAATATAATAATAAATATGTAGAGGATATGTTTGTTTGGCTGAATCTGTTGTTTATGATACTATTATTTAATACCTATGACCATTTGTAGATTCACATACGTAATTAGCGTAATAAAAATATATTTTATCCTTTGATTTATTCTGTTTCTATTTCACAACATGGCATTGATATGTTTCCTTAATTCCTTAATTTCTTTCACCATTTAGCCTTTTTTTCTTCTATAACACAAAGCTATCTTGATAAGTCGGAAGCATATAAGTTAGAATATTATATATCTCGTACTTATTCAATGAAGTCGAGATGGCCGAGTTGGTCTAAGGCGCCAGATTAAGGTTCTGGTCCGAAAGGGCGTGGGTTCAAATCCCACTCTCGACAAATGTAACTTTTTCATTTTTTAACTTCAATAGCAAATTGCAAATTCTAATGAAAGCCTGTTACTTATTCAGGTGCGTCCAACTTATCGACCGCTTTCAAAGGGATAATGACTTAAAAGGGTAATATATTTTTTTCGATTTGTAAATATTTGGTCACTGAGTTTTTTTTTCGTCCACATTTACCCCTTAAACTTGTTAAACCGTATATATTCAGTCCTTATGACCGGCTACTACAGGTTACCCGGTAAAAATGACTTAAAGGGTAATATATTTCTCACTTTGTACACATTTAGTCCTTAATATTTTTGTACACATTTAGTCCTTTTTTTTTTTGCAAAATAAGTCATTTTTTTTGTACTCATTCAGTACTTATGAATGATTTTTTAGTTTTTTCTCACGAAATCTTATGTGTGACATTCATTAATGAGGTGTATGAGGCTTTTGATGCTTATATCCATCGCGATCTCGACTATTTGATTGTTTAGGTCATGTATTCTGAACGTCATAACTTCTTCATATGATCTCGGATTTTAACGATCTTTATATCCATGCGTTCGTATTTTAGTCTACTACAACTTTCATTTAGATTACTCCCATTAAAAAATAATATATTTTTACTTACGATTTTTATATCCATACGCGGTGGCGGATTTAGTATGGTCCCGGTGTTGCACCGACAACACCTGTTTTTTCTGTTCGCAGTGGAAAATTTTTCGCATTTTTTTTTACGTTTATACCTATTTTCCATGTATCGGCAAGACCTATTTCATCTCGGCAACACGTACTATGTATTACTGCGTCTTCCCCTGTCCATACGTTTTTTATGAATGCATGTTAATAACTAAATATGTACAAAAATATTAAGGACTAAATGTGTACAAAATGAAAAATATATTACCCTATCAAGTCATTTTTCCCGGATAACCTGGAGTAACAGGTCATAAGGACTAAATGTGTACAGTTTAACAAGTTTAAGGGGTAAATGTGGACGAAAAAAAACTCAGTGACCAAATGTGTACAAAATGAATAATATGTTACCCTTTTAAGTCATTATCCAGCTTTTCAAATGCAAATGTTCAGCTAAAACAGCACACATATTTTAAAATGTTATTTTTTAAAAGATTTTTAGCATGAAAGATGTATAAGTAAGTGGTGTAGAACAAAATTTAATGAAATTAATACAACAAAGAACAAACTAAACCCCAATAACTAATTTTGTAATGACGTTTTGATTTTTTTGAAACAAAGGCAGCCATGGGGATGGGGATGCTTCAACCTCGGGTTTTCCCATATAAATGCTGGTAGACAACCTTAGTTCGACGCACCAGTATCATACTTAAAACAACCGCTATGACACACAATGCAGACATGATAATATAAGTCGTACAAAAGCATACCGAGCCCTCGCACTTCAAAGGCTCATCCCCAACAAAAAGCTTATTAAAACGTTGATTCCTGTGTTGAGCTTGCTTCTCTGCTTCCCTGTCATATATAGAACTGGCAAGGACGCCAGAGAAGACTAGTGAACCGGCAGGGTTGGCTAGTGTCATAAAATTGTATAAAGCACCAAACTTTTTCAACCCAAAAAGCTCAGATGTAGCGGCGGGGACAACAGCCCAATGGGCTCCATAGCCTACACCAATTAACAATGTACCAATGTACATTGCACCGGGCCAACCCATGGCAAAGAATAAATGACCAATCGCCATCACCGCCTGTGCAACCGCCATGGCTACAGGTCGTGGATAAGCATACTCCCTCACCACGATCTCTGAGAAATACCCCCCACCAACACGACCTAAAAAGTTCCAGATGCTGATCATGGAAACAAATATGTGGGGTTTCTCATACCCCAAAGACTGACTCATTTGACCTAAATTATCAATCACGGTCAACCCAGAACCAGACCCTAGTAATAGCGACCAGAAGATTAGCCAGAAGTCTGCTTTCACCAGAGCCTGTGTGAGGGTGAAGTCTTCCCCTCTATGTGGTCCTCTTCTTCTCTTGACCATAACAGCTCCTCTTGCAGCTGCTTGTGCTAACTTTGTTTGTAGTTGAGCAAGTCTTTTTTGTCTCTCTGAAGCAGGAAGCAGGTCGACCTCTTGAGGCTTTTCGTCTTCCAGTTCGCTAAATATAAAATCGTTAGGATCTGGTTCGGATTCGGGTTTTGCAGGTTCATTATTGGTTCTTGGTGAGGCTAGAAGAGATTCTTCTTTTGGGTCGAGTGGGTCACGGGAAAGCGTCATTTGTATTGGGATCATGATTGGTGCGATTACCAGCAAGAACAAAACCAGAGTGAAAATTCGAACTATGGTCTGGTTCAGATCTAATAAATCCTCCACAAGCATAACCCCCATGAGATACGCAGCTAAAATGAGGCATACACAATAAATAAACGAGAAACTTGATCCATCCAGTGATCGGAGTTGTTTGTGGCCTCCGACTGGGCGGACGATAAACATAAGAGATATAACCACCATGGATGGTCCAACTGCAACCATGAATATGAGTGAGGCGCGATCAGGCCAATTGATGGATGCGTATATCTGAGTCAAAATTGCACCACCCAACCCTGCAAATCCCTTTAGTATTCCGACGACTGGTCCACGGCTTCTCGGGAAGTTTTGAACGCATGCCACTAGTGCCACTGTGTTGAAGTAGGTCTCGCCATTGGTTCCGACAAATATGAGAATGCACATCTGCATGCATGCATGCATATAATTAAACATCATTTTCAAGAGTAGCATATATCAATCGAGCGAAAATGCATAGCAAATTAGCAATATGCATGGTTTTAAACGATTCCGTTTTTATTTTTTTTATTTTTGGGGTACAAAACCGATACTTACAACCCATAACGGTAACGTTGGTACTCTGTGGGTGGCGATGAGCCAGACCCAACCATAACCAATGAAGTTCTTAATGGCGCCAACAAGAAGGGCAGCCCATAAGGGCAATATCTCCGACAGAGTTCCGGCCAAAAACCCAACACTATCCCCGAGATCTTTAGCAACACCCAACCTTGCGACCTGCCTTTGATTGTAGTTTAAGGAGCTCTTAATCACCGGGGATAAACTTCCGAACAAGTATCCGATGCCGGCGCATGATTGTACCCACATTGCCACCACAAATACAAGCCATCGGTTGTTGAAGAACATAACCATGAATTCCTTAACCTTAGCCATTGTGGATGATTTGAAAAAACGAAAGATTGGTTCATCTGTTTGGATTTGAAAGATGTATTTAGAGGTATATGAATTGAAGCATATGGTTTTGTTTTTGCCTGTGATCACCGTTTCTTTTTCATACGGAGTAGGATTTTTGGGATTTTTGGTTTAATGGGGGCTGAGCGTAGAATCTGGTGGAGCGATAATATAGCCGACGATATTTGGAAATCTAAATTCTGTGAGTTCCAAATCTATTGTGTATTAAACTATCAAGCTTCACATAACATGATAATATTGCGATTTTCGTTTAGATGTTAATTAATAACGCTTTAAATAGTTAACTAATGAAATTACTTTTGTTAGATATTGTGTAAACTTAAAAACCCATTCAAACTCTAGCCCAGCCGTATCCGGTGTTCCCCTCCCTTCTTGATGTCGAGGTTCAAGTCTCATTGTGGACATAGATGAAATAATTTAGGAATAGTTTAGTATATATTTGTATTTGTTGTAAAAAAAAAAATTCAAACCATTCAATTTCATAGATATCCATGAAAATTTCCATATCCGATTATAGATATTTACAAATTTATGTATATTAATGTTTTGTAATAACTAATAGTGGGAATATGGGATAATCACGAAAATTATTAAATTACCACTTTACTAGTTACATGCAACAAGTTGATCATTATTTTAACAAATGGCCAAATTGACCCATATATTCGAAACTTGGCGGATTTGAAATTCATTAGAAGTTTAAAACTCCAATACTCCATGGTTGTATATTAAAGGGTTAAGCATTTTCAAAACTGTTACTTAATTTCAAAACTCATTATTTTAACAAACTCCCGTCTATTTTGTCCTCTACTGTACGCAACACATACATTTGGTGTTTGCGGGGGGTAGAGCGTTGATCCGTTGATTTTGACTTTGACCGTTGAGTTTTTTTAACCATCTTGACTTTGGTAAGATTTTGATGAATTTGAGTATTTGATTAAGGATTGGTCTCGGATTGGTATTAGGTGGTTTGTGTTAGGTGTTTCGTTTGCGGGGACTGCTGTCAAGTTTTTGCTGCTTGATTCTGTGACATCCTCAAATTCACGGTCATTTTAAAATTTTTATTTATTCTTATTTTAAAATAAGAGCAACATTTTAAAGAAAAGTGTTGCAGAATTTGTTCCCAGAAAAAACATGATAAATATGTTATCAAAGCATTTCCTAAGAAATGCATTTTATTCATTTTAAAACTTTGGGATGTCATCGTCAATACAGAAACATAAACATAAACAAACCTTACATTCATTTACACTAGTGATCTACATTTCCTTAATCTCTCGGTGTAATGTAGCTTCATATCGACACCTGTGATACAAATAAACTGAGTGGGTCAGGTTGGGAAACCTAGTGAGTACATAAAGTTTTCAACCCACAATAATATAGTTATTATGTTTCATCATCAAACAATTAACCCATTTACCCATCCCCATTATCTTCTTTATTCTTAAGTATCTTCTCTATGAATCATCTACTCCTCATTATTTATTCCTAAGGATTGTCCTAAGGAATAGGCACGAAGTCCATCGTCGCCACGGTATATTTATGTAACGCCCCGATTTTTCAGGTATTGTTTAAATAAGATTTTTGGGTTAAGCTCTACTCGACGAGTTAGTTGACCTACTCGTCGAGTAGCAGCGGGGTGGGATCGCGTGTTAAGTGACCTACTCGACGAGTCCATATTGGGACTCGGCGAGTAGGAGCTGGCAGAAGAAACCCTAAATCCCGGGGTTTGCACCCCTATTTAAAGGAACCTCAGCCTCCTTTGCCCTCTTTATAGTCTTTGAGAGCCCCTTAAAATCCTAATACGTGTGTGTGCCCATTGTGTGTTTAAAGCTTGAAGATAGGATCTTTGGAGGGAGAAGGCTTGGAGGAGAAGGAGATTGGAGCAAGTAGGGTGTGGGAATCAACTCTTATCTCAGTTATCATCTTCTGGAGGTAACCAAATCACTTTTTTCTTGTGAATCTCTTCTATTGGTTGAGTTTTAGGGTTTTTGGTGAGACATTAAGTTGGAAAGATGAGCTATGAGCTAGATCTGAGATTGTAACTTCAGATCTGGACCCTCCTTGGATTCTATAAGCATAAAGTTACAGTCTTGGTCATGATTGAGGTCCCTTTTGAGCATAAAGTTCCATTAAGAACTTAAAATAGGCATTTAGAGCCTTTATAGCCATGCATGCACATAAAGTTTGCAACTTTACGTGATAAGCGTGATCTAGAAGCCTGGATCTGTGATTTGGAGCCGCTGCATGGCTCAAAACAAGTATGTATGGAAAAGGGACTTAATGGACTCGGCGAGTCGCAAGGTTGACTCGGCGAGTCACAAGAAGATGGCCGTGGACTCGACGAGTTGGATGAACAACTCGGCGAGTCCGATGAAGATTACCATAAGAATCGACGAGTTGAAGAACAACTCGGCGAGTCGGATGAGTTTTCCCTAGGAGATGTATGCGTATGTATCCGTCGAGTTGCAAGGAGGGAACTCGACGGGTGGCCTTAAAGTTTGAACGAGAGTCGAAGGAACTCGACGAGTCACCCCGATGACTCGGCGAGTGGGATGTGCTTCGAGGAACTCGGCGAGTAGCCGAGGGTACTCGGCGAGTTGGGGTCAACATGGACTGTTGACCTTGACTGAGGACTTTGACTTTGATCAGGGGTTGACTAGTGGGTTATGGAGTACCTTATAAGGTTAAGGACTTATGAGTATAATGAACCATGATTATAGGTGGTGGAGCCTGTGTCAAGTGATCCGAGAGTTGGAGTTTACCTTTCGAGTCGACATCTGCGAGGTGAGTTATCCTCACTATATCGATAGGGTCTACGGCACCAAGGCCGACCCTTTAGTTGTTATTGTTATGATATGCTACATGTGGATTTGATCTGCTAGATCGGAATCAAGGTAGACAATATGTTATGCTTTTATGATCCGTAAGGATTGGTATGTTAGTGACCTGCTAGGTCGGTACTCTAGTTACGAGAGAATTCTATGGTTGATGATCAGTGTGACAGATATGTTTGATGTTTGTATATGTCCGTATGTGATAGTTATGCGAACGTGGTTATTTATTTGTTGGTTGGGTTGAGGCGGTCCTGCTTTGTGTTGAAGGGCAACAAACCCTATGAGCGGTCCGGGGAGGCTGCAGGCCCACGAGGCGAACCAGTCATGCCGAAGGCTCGGGATAGTTTCAGATAGACTGTATGCCCAGTAGGGCGGTCCAGTCAGGCCGTTGGCCCAGTATGCATGTTGATTGATTGATTGATTGATTGGTTGACTGATTGTTACTGACATGGTATTGTCAGTGTGGTATTGGTATTTTAGGGGTAGCTCACTAAGCCCTCGAGCTTACAGTTTTCAGTTTATTGTTTCAGGTACTTCAGGAGATCGTGGCAAGGCGAAGGCGTGACCGTACCGCTCCTCATCCTTATGTTATGATCTGTTTATGGGACACTCTGATGGATATTGATTTGAAAACATTTTGTAAACAATACTATTTGACTTTCATTTATGGTTGAAAAAGTTTAAATTTGGCGTAAAATTTTTGGATGTGACAATTTAACAAACACTAAATCCATAGTCGTCAGGGTTTATATAACAGACACTAAGTCCATAGTCGCCAGGGTTTATCTTGTTTATTGACAGTATTATTTTCGAGAGTCTACTCGCAATACATGTCAATGGGTTTTTAGAGTACACCGGGTGAACGTCTCGTTCACAACACCTACAGGTTGCGAGCCTGCTAGTGTTCCATTGGACTGTCTAGAATAGTCCGTGGTTGTCATCCATACTCTGCTAGATGACGGGGCCAACGCTTGGGTAAAGGTGTGACATCCCCATTTTCACGGCCAGAAAAGACCGATTTGTTTATGCTTTGTTTTATAAAATCAGAGTAATCCTTTGATTAAAAGAGTTGCGGAATTTGTTCCCAAAACAAAATATGATAATAATTTATCAAAACATTTCTTAAAGAAATGTATTTTCATTAAATAACAAAATCTCGGGGTGTCATGTTCCGATACAGACCAAAAGCATAAACAGTACTAAATAGACCTTACAACAGTTATTTACAACTATTGGTCTATATCCAAAATATCTTGATAAGTCATCCAACTTATGCACTGGTGTCACTACCTATAATACAAAGAAAAACTGAGTGCGTCAGGCTTGGGAGCCTGGTGAGCATATAAGGTTTTCAACCCACAATAATATAATTATTATATTCAATCATCAAACAATCAACCTAATTACCCATCCCCATTGTTTCATTTAATTCTTAAGAATTTACCCTAAGAATCAATCATCCTTCACTCATTCAATCGTAAGGATTATCCTAAGGAATATGCACGAAGTCCATCGCTGCCCGAGATTCATACAACAGACACTAAGTCCATAGCTGCCAAGGTTCATCCATACGGTACTAAATCCATAGCTACCAACGTACATCTATACAGTACTAAATCCATAGCTACCAACGTACATCTATACAATACTAAATCCATAGCTACCAATGTTCTCTATTAGGCACAGCTATCAATATTATCCTTTAGGCGCAACTGCCAGGATTGTGTTGTTCTCAACCAGACGCAACTGTCAATATCATCTACTAGGCGCAGATGCCAATATTATCCTTTAGGCGCAGCTGCCAAGATTATGTTGTATCTATTAGGTACAGCTGCCAATATTATCCATTAGGCGCAGCTGCCGGGATATTTAGATTACAACTGGTGAACACGTAAATCAAAAACACCTAAGGGTTACGGCGCAACTGCCAATATTCATCTATATTATATTTCATCCCTCATTATTTATCTACCCATGTTCTACCCAACATATTCGTAGATATAAAAATCCATATACAGTTTAAATCATTTAAAACATGTATAAAATATTCATTCAACATCCATCTCAAATAAACAAACAATATAAGTCTACACATAGGACGTATTTTATACAAAATACTTCATATCTATGTGTAAGATGAAAGTGACTATACACTCACTTGATAAGACGATGATCGGACAGCACTACGGCTCTTA